CTGAGCCAGAGAACATCTATCGACCTTATCCCGATTCCTACACATTAGGAGTAGGAATCATGCTCATGCTCTCTCATGGCAAATCAAGTATTCTCTAGTAATTCTGGACTCCACAGGGGAAGGAGCACTGGCGGACTCCATTTTCCTTTCAATCTCATTTTAAAACAGAAGATTCACTCCAGTATGCATCTCGTTTTCATCATGCTGTTTTTCAGTTTATAAGCTTTTGGTGGCTGCCTATTTCCAAGTTGCTAATACCCTGCCTGCCTTTCAATGCCCCTGCTTTATTTCCACTACTGCCCAACATGCCCGGGCCTGGCCAGTGAAAATTCTGTCTGAAAGCCTACACTCTTTCCACCAAAATTTTTGGTTTCCCGCCTTGAGAATATCTTTTTTTCTCTTGAGTCACTGTGGGCTCAGGAAAGGCTAAACAACTTTTGCTATAGGACTAAACAAAACATTGACAGCAATGTGAATCTGCTAGAAAATGAGCTGTTTACATGTTTCACTTAACTAGGTTAGGGCTCAAAGTCCCTGAAAGGGGCATCTAGCACAGACCTTGGCCAGTGTAGACTCTCAAATATTTGTCATATTAATTAATTACCAAACCAAACAATATTTAGATTAGTCCCAATATTTTTCCCTCCATTAAGCTAAGGAATTAGTCATTGCAGCTTCAAGAGGTCCCTATAAATATAGAAAAAATGCTGCATAAGGAAATAAACCCTCTAAATTCCAGAGGACAATCTCACACCACTGCTCTGTAAGATAATGCACTGTAAACAGATACCACGGCAACCAGCTGCAGAGCAGGCTGAGCCTCCTCCCCGGGCGCAAGACCATCCCATTACACACGAGCTTTGACAAGGAATCCAGAAAAGAAGTTCCAAAGTTGGGCACCTAACGAAAACATCAAGTAACCCTTCGATTTTTACAAACATTTAGAAAAATATTAAGAACAAAAATCCCTATTTTTGAAAACCTCCTTTGACTATATTGATACAATATTAATATATACATGATAGAGACACATGAAGCTGAACCCTTGCTGTCTGTGGATGCTATTTTGGGAAATGTGATCTGAAATTCACATTCTGGTAAAAGCGAGCCACATTAACAACAGCTTCTATTGAATGGAACATACTTTCCCAACTCTATTTTACATATATATATATGTATGTATGTGTATGTGTATGTATACACACACAAGATATCTCTCTATTTTCCTTAACAATGGTTCATTTTTTAAAATCGGCAAAGCTAGATGTTACAGCCAGTGTTTCACGCTTAAATCTTAGTTCTGTCTTTTTTTACAACCCATTTCCTGAGGCCAAGCAATTTTTTTTTTAAGTATTCAGAAACATGTGCTACTGTAGTTGCATGTTCAAACACCCATGTGGAAATAGTCCCCTTGACTTACACACTCATTCTTAAAAGGCTGGAGTATGCAAACAAAGATGCAGTGGGCAGAGGGCCAGTTAATAAATCTCATTTCCGACTAGCATCTGCATGAAACGGAGCTATGGGGGGTATCCTCTCCAGGGAGATCCAGGGCACAACTCATCCGCCGTGTGAATTAAACAGTGTCACCTTAGATGGCCCACACCACATTTATTTTTTAAGCAGCTCTTAAAATATATGGATTTCTAGTGCTCATCAACGCAGTGAGGAAGCTGAGGCTGAGAGGACAATCAGAGTAGTGGACATGAGCCATGGAAATATGTCCCCAAGGCTCTGCTGAGTCATTTTTGTACTTGCTCTTTTCAATTAAAATTACTAACCCAGGGATAATTTTCTAAAGGACACTTGCTTTTCTGATCAAAGTGCACACAAGTTTCAATCATGAGTTACCACCCATTCTACTCCAGGCTGTGAAAATGAACTATGTTTACACTACCAGAGACCTGGGTTAAGATATCTGGGTCAGGAACCACATTTGACTTACTTACGAACCTGGTACAAATGCTATAATATTAATGTCCCCTCAAAAGAGTGACTGCTCACCCATTAACAGTGCTCAGGAGCACTGCCCTACACTCTAGGTATACTGTTCTCCTCTCACCTGCGCTGCCAGCAAAGTCTACCTTTTCAGTAATATCAGCATTCTTCTCATATTTATATAGCCCTTTTAAGAAATTATTTGTTTTAAATGTTTGAAGTTAGCTTGGCAATATCTCTATTAAGAAGGGGGCTAGGCCGGGCGCTGTGGCTCACGCCTGTAATCCTAGCTCTTGGGAGGCCGAGGCGGGCGGATTGCTCAAGGTCAGGAGTTCAAAACCAGCCTGAGCAAGAGCAAGACCCCATCTCTACTATAAACAGAAAGAAATTAATTGGCCAACTGATATATATATAAAAAATTAGCCGGGCATGGTGGCACATGCCTGTAGTCCCAGCTACTCGGGAGGCTGAGGCAGAAGGATCACTCGAGCCCAGGAGTTTGAGGTTGCTGTGAGCTAGGCTGATGCCACGGCACTCACTCTAGCCTGGGCAACAAAGTGAGACTCTGTCTTAAAAAAAAAAAAAAAGAACACATATCATTGTTGAGATCTATACCAAACCCTATGGCCAAAGTTAAACTTTTACATGCTTAAATCTCTACTCTGGCTTTCAAATTGCCTTCCAAGTTTCCTCAGCAATTAAATGGCTATATTATTTCCAGTCTTGGGATGCCAAAATAATGATGGAATGCTTCCTGGATAGAAAAATGTGTCACATTTTTTCCTTTTCCAACGCCCCTCCAAGAAAATAAGCAGTAGTTATATTACATTGGTCATCCACTTTGAAAGAAAAGCAGACCAAGGAAAACATCAAGTGTGTCTGTCTCCACATGCACCCTTTGTATAATACAATACAATTGCAATTTCGGGGGTTTCCTTCTTCGTTTAGGCCCATGACATCTCTCACTATAGCATCCAGTAATCCTATTATATCAAATACAAATGCAATGATGCTCTTAGTGACTTAAGAATTTGTTCAGTCAGATCTTTATTAAAATTCAGTTTTTCTGTTTTTACATAATTTCAGGTACCATTATAGGGACTCAGAAAGCAAACTGGAAATAATTCAGGAAATGGATATAATAACTGGGAATAAATTAAAGACATAAATAAAATTTCATTTAAAAGCAATAGTTTGTCACCGAAAGGTAACATTTAACCTTTGTGTCAAATGATTTTCCACTGCCATTTCAACTTAGTTCATATGACTAATACAACCCAACTAGGCAACTTCCTTTGGCTGACATGGTAACATTTGAACTCCATCTTAAAAGCAACTGCTACCTACACAGTAGGGATTAAATCATTTAGGAAATGAGGACACCAAATTTATTACCTGTAAGAACAGTTCAAATAAATAAGATTTAAAAGTAACTCAAGAGTTTTTGTTTTGTTTTGTTTTTTGGTTTTGTTTTTTGCTTTTAAATTCTATTTTTAGGCTTTGGGATGTTCACTGAGGAGAAAAGTAAAGAAGTAAGAAGAAAAGGAGCCCAACTTTCCCATCACAGGGGCTCCAAAAGGAGAGTCTCAGAAGTTGTAAACCAAGTTTGGTTTCCATTAAAAGAATAACAAGCACTTGAATTCTGTAAGGATGCAATGTCAACACATCCTTATGGTTGGAACCATAAGGCATGAGATTTTGGTGACTTCATGGGCATAGCCAAAATTAACTCCAAGTATTTATACAACTGCCAGAGACCACAGGGCAAAGTTTGCTTATAATTTTTTTTTTTTTTTTTGCATCAACAAAGTGCATTTCTTTGGTCAAAGAGAAAGGAAGTTAGGCACTTTTGGTCTTATTTTATGCTATGCAACATTTATATACACAGAATACTCTACCCATAATACGATCTGAATGTTTAGACGAAGGCTTTATAAAAAAAAAGCTATTTCCTGTTGCTCACTAGCTGAAAGGATGCGCCTTAGAGGTATGTGTGCTCTGCCTCAGAGCAAAAGCATTGTTACTGGTTATCAAGGTAACATTTAAAAATAACTACCCCAGTACAAAAGAACTTCAGAGGAAATATGTCCGAAGCTATCAGTCTCCCTCTGAGTCTGGCCTTGAGCTGCATAAGACTCTAGCTGCATTCTCCATTACATTGTTATCCTTATCAAACAATGCAAACAATTTTAATGAGTTTATCTACTAGAACATATTGCCAGATATGTTAATGTAAAAATGATGCCAACCGTACAGGCCAACTCATTAATCAAAAGGCTCACAATACAATGACCAAGATCAGTCCCATCCTCAAATCAGACCTCAGCAAAATACCAGGAATTACCTTCCTACTGTAAATAAGAAGGAAGGGCTCCCCCACCCATGCGGTGGCCATAAACTCCTAAGAAAATGCATAACAGCGCCCAGTTTTTTTTTTTTCAGGTCCTTTGCAGTGCAGTGTCTTTCTAATAAACATAGGGTTCTATGGGGAAATTTTTGGTGAATGTCTGACACTGTGACCTCTGCTGTCAATCCTTGCACCAATCAGCGAGCAGAATTCTTACAAAGCTCCATCAATCTGGCGGTTTACCATCACAGACTGCAGCTTAATCTAGAGGATTCCATCTTTCCTGCACACTCTCCAGGTTAAGCGCAAACGTTTTCCTCTCCATCCACCCGTTTTCTGCCTTTAGGCACAGCTACCTCATGGCTCCTTTAAAATCTAAAAGGAAAGGAGGAAAGGAAGTGCTACAGCCTGTCTCTTTGGACAGGGAGAAAAAAATAATAGCATGCATTTTTATCAATGTGGAAGGAAAGAGATGCAGGGAGACCCCTCGCAGGCAGCAAACCTATTCACAAAATGCTTTCCATCTGCAATCGTGAAGCCTCGATGCATACCCAACATGACACATGGAATCAGACATCAAATAATCACAACCGCCTTCACAAATGCACGCCTGCAGCCGGGGTCGCAGGCGGTGTCTGCTCCATTATATAACGGGCCGGATTTCCGCGCGCCCCCACGGCGGTCCCGGCGCTGCTCCGGGTGCCAGCCCCATTACCTGTAGGAACGCTCCCCGCGCACTGTGTGCTTCCGGAAAGGAATGATGGTCCCGTTATTATCCTGGATGATGTCGTTGTTGTTCTCGCCATTTGGGGACAGGGTTTGGGTCGGCCCAGGCATTGGCGCACTCCCGAGACAAGGAACAAACCGCTGTGGGCTGGCTGGTGAGGAAGGTGGCTGCGTCTTCCCGCTCGCTCGCCTGCTCCGCGCACAGACCGACCCCGCCGCCTGCTCGCTCGCTTCTCCCCGCTCCCGCTCCGCCCCGCCCTCCTGCGTCCCCGCCCTCCGGCCGCTGACGTCAGAGCGCCGGCAGCAGCACCCTGGTCACGTGGCCGGCCCGTCACCATGGCAACCCGCTAACTCATCACCTCGCCTCAATTCGCACAGGGCCGCCGGGGTGACCACGCCAGCAGCTCCAGGCAGGCACCGGGGCAGGCCTACATCTGGCATGTAAAACCCCAGGCCACCCCGCAGCCCCCCTCGCAGACTCGCCTTGCCTGAAAACTAGCTCTTCCTCTAACCATTTCCTTTCCGACCCGTGCTCTAACTGCAGCTGTGTACACAAAAGAACGATTCATGCAAAGGGGTGTGGGAGACCCTTTAACTCCTTCAATACCAAGTTCTGATGCCGTGAAAATTAAACTTGGTCAGGTCTGGGAAAAATCTAAAAAGATCTGGTGGCCAGCTTCTAGAAAAGGTATCAGACTAAGGGGTTAATATTTCTGGCTTCCTCCCCTCTTCTCCAAATAGCTGCAGTCTCCTCCCCAAAATAAGCCAAAAAAACCCTTAAAACCTAAAGGGAAGCTGTACTTCCTTCTAATCAATGTAGTCTTTAATAATGTGAGAATTAAAGATTGCAAAATATGATATTTTCTATGCAAAAGAATCTCCAAGGACAATTTTTTTAAAAAAGGTAACCACCATTTTAGAATATCACAGTTACCCAAGACCTCCCAATTCGAATTCTTTATGCTGCTTCCTGTTACAGATCACTGATTCCTTGCCATTTATTCTATTTCTATTTGAATTAAACAAGTGATTGACTCATTTAGTATTTGGAAGCTCTCAACATTCAAACTGTTCTATATCCTTGCAATGCAGTTTTCAAATACATTGACTATGAGACAAATGTTATCATTATCCCCATTTTAAAGACGAGTAAAACTAGTAAGATTAAGTAAATTGCTTAGGGTCACATAGCTAGGAAGTGGTAAACTGGAACTTCAAAGTAACATGCATTAATCTACATGACTGGACAGTAGTGATCTGTGTATAATGTGAGCTCAATAAATATTATAAATCAAGGTAAAAGTCAAATACTTCAGGTACACTCCCAACATAACCACTGTGAAAAGATAGCTGTGCAAAGTCTCTCAATTAGATTATAGACTCTGAACAGACCCCACAGATGTCCAGAGGAGAGTTTGAAGGATTCTCTGCTTATTAGCAGTGACCTCTGACCTTTTGTGATGTGAGAAGGAAGAATTGGGGTGTAGAAGACACAGCATAAATATGTGTGACAGAAAGTACTAGCTATGGCTCGCTCCGTCACATCATTGTATGGTTTATTAGCTTTATCATTTTGTGATACAGATATTAAAAACAAGTAAATACTTTGTCATTTCTGACGATTCTCCAGCATATGTCCCTGGCAATAAGTTATTTCTAGTATCAAGCTTCTGGAATTAGAATCAAATGTTTTACAACCCACATGGTAAAGACAATCTCAAACTAGGAGGCCCCTTTTTTCTTCCTATTTTATACTTTTCTTTTGGGCTAAAAGGAATTTTTTTCCTATGTTTTAATAATTGTATATTCTGTTTTTCCAGCTAGTGTTTCATAGTGTACAAGTTGATCCCGTCATCCACATCTCAGTTTACATGAGAAATTTTTTCTCATACGATCAGGATCCAATCCTGATCTAAGAACTTTTGCAAGGTACACAGACAAACATCTAAGTACAAGATACCAAGTCTCACGCTGCACAATGAGCTAAAGGGGCATGAAAGTACAGTCATTCCTACAAAGATCCATGCTTCCTCTTACTATTTCAGTCACTTGACCCACTGTTGTCAATTTTCTTACTAATTTGTTCCCTTTCACAAAGCTTCCCCTTTCTTGGGGGACAGTCTGAAGTTGAAAGGCACAGTCTACAAATCAAATATTTGATGTTTTCAGAGTATGCCCTCTCAATTTGGGTTCTATGGTACAGCTTACTTTTCCATGATCCCATATTTAAGTAATATGTTAGACATACTTGGTGTCATGGGTACTAAATTTGTCAGAATTTGAGCATATAGTGCATTGATTATACCAACTGATTTTGTGGATAGAATATTCCCATTTTGTTTCTAGGCTGCTCTTGAAGGAGGGGATGATGGCCAAGAATTTGGGTCGATGGGCTGAAAAGGGAAGGGTTGTGAGTCAGGTGAAGAAAGTATCTAAGAGCCCCGTAAATTTTCCTCTACGACTGCTCTGAGCCACACTACTATAAAGGGACACAGAGAGCTCCAGAGACCAGTGATTACCCTCTGAGATGCAGGGGTAACAGGAGTAATAATTTGAAAATATTAAACAGATGTGTTTTCATTCCTCTCTCCATAAATCAGGTTACCTGGCAGCCATTCTCCAATTTAGCCCTAGGGAAAAGGGGAGGGCAAATTCCACTCTGAGAAGGAGGATAACGTGATATAGGGAAAGTGCAAAAAATGCAAATAGAGAGAGGGAAGAGCCCACTCTCTCCAGCCCCAGCTGAGTGTAGGAAGAAGGGGATGAGGGTAGGACAAGGCAAGGAGTCTCCCATGCCCAGGTCCCCAGGCTCAAGTCCCAGAAGGGAGATGCGGATAGGCTGGGAACAAAGCTTGAGGGTCTTTCTTTTGCTTCATTTCCCATTTGAGACTCTACAAAACAGCTGCCTTAAAGAGTTGGGTCTCCCTGAACAAAGTGCAGCCACATCACAGTATAGACTAAAACCAGTGGCCTGGTATGATTAGGGAAAAGGTAACCTTAAATTTCACTCTCAGCATCTCCTTTTGCTGGCATGCAATATGGAAAGTATCTAGAAGTTTCTGTCTGCCCTATAAAGGCATAGTAGGAGGTTGAGTGGATGTTGCTGTCAGAGAACTAAGTTTATGGTGGTAGTGGTGGTAGGGGTGTCATGAAGGGATGTCTTCACAACAGAGGCAAAGGGATATTTACCTGGGTCCATGGGGTGGAACATTTAAATTAGAGTCTGAATAGGAGAAATAGCCAGCTCTGAGGAAGGTACCCAGAGCCAGAGCTAGAGCCAGAGCCAAGCCTGTAGAGAGAGATTGCAGCTAAAGGGTTCAGCACAGGCCACCAGCAGAATGCTCACAGATGGGCACAGACCAGCTACTCCTCAGCAGACTCAGATATTACAAACCCAAGGACCAGCATGGAACCCCTAGGGAGGCCCCTACTCTCCCTGTCTTTTTTGTTTTTATAAGCTTCACTCACCTATTCCTCCAGACACAATCTTGCAGAGGGGTAGGGAAATAAAGGACATCTCAAAGACTGAATATTCACCCAGGAGATAGTCTAAACTGGAGGAGACTATAATATTGTGACCTAGCAAATTTAAAACTGTTTCTGGTTCCTCACTCCCCAGGGTAGGGAGAATCACCCAGATCATCACAGAAAAACAAAACAAAACAAAACTGAGCTAAAATGTCTTTGTACATACAACTGTGGATTAAGGTTTTGTCCTATGCACACAGGTACACCTGAAATAAAGTGTGTGCTGACCACTTCCCTACATCTCCAACTGCCCATGGAAAAATGGCTCTTCTCACCAAGCATCAGGATTAAAGAAGGGGCTCTGGAGTCAGGCAGACCTGGGTCCTGGGCTTGACTTCACCACCTGCTGACCTTGGCAAATCACCTTGTGTCTATAAGATTTAGTTTCCTCATCTATAAAGTTGATGTAATAACACCGGTTTCAGAGTGTTACTGCAGAGATTAAATTATATACTGTATTTAAAGCACTTAACACAGTATCTAGCTATATGGCAAAAGCTCTTAGTGGTAAATATTATTATTTTTAAATAATATGTTAGGCATACCCCCAAACATCCATTAATTTAACACTTAAAACTGGCTTTCTTGTGTAATCGGAGCTGGTAAAACAAGAGAAAAAAGACTAAGGCTCTCACCTAAAGAAACTCCAAGGTTGTGGGTGAGCAAGGTAAAAATAATTGGCAATTATAACAAAATTGCAACATAAGTGCTATAATAATGGTACTACACAGGGTGGTATGGGACCTTAGAAGATGAGCACTTAAACTCAGAATGGAAACTGAGAAGTAGGTCTGAAAACTATACCTAAAGTCTTGAGTGACTAATATTTTTGTTCACTTTCTGTGCACTGGACAGAATATGAGGTCCCTTAGGGCAGAGGCTTCAATGGTTTTGTTCACTGATATATCTGCAGTTCCTAGAACAGGGTCTGGCAGGTATTAGGCATTCAATGAATGTATAATTCATTCATTTATTGATATATCTGATTTGATTCTCATAATAATCCTAATGAGACAACTGAAGCTCAAAGAGAAGAAACAACTCATCCAAGATCCAGGATTGGATGTCAGGATTTTTTCTTCGCCCGAAAGATTGCATGCTTATCCATTAGGCTATATTGCCATTTAAAAGAGGAATTGCAATGTAGAGGGAAAATAAAGGGCTTTTCAAGGAGATATTCATAGGTACAGAGGTAGGAAGGGGTATAACATCTCTGGGAAACAGCAGGTTGTTTGGAATGGACAGAGAACAGAGTTCACAGTGGCAGGAGATTGGGCAAGGACTAAGATGCAGCAGGGTCTTATGGCCAAGCTAAGGAGCTTGACCTTAACTCTGAGAGTGATCTAGAACCATGATGTGCTGTAGGAGGAGAAATCAATGGTGAAATTTGCATAACAAGACAGTCTAATGCTGACAATAGTATGGAAGATATATTGAAGATCAAAATGACTAAAAATGTGGTGAAGACCTGAACTAAAACAGAGACCAAGGGGTTATAGAATTTGCAATATTCAGAAGGTATATCTCTTAGAATTTGGTGACTGAGTGTGGACACAATCGTTGGTGTGAGTTAGGGGTGGGTAGTGAAGGTGAAAGAGACATCTGAAATGAATCCCAAGTTTATGGCTTGGGTGACCAAATGGATAAGGGTAGCATTTATCAAGCTAGGGAATACAGATTAAATTGTTCTTTTAGAAAAAAGTTTCTCATAATGTGTTTTGGACACAGCGAAGTACCTATAGGACATCCTAGTC